TAAATAGGTGTTCTGCAATGCATATTAAGGATCTACAAAATATTACAAATACTGAAAATATGAATAGGTCACTTTCCGTTTGATTTAGTAGCCTATTACATGCATATTGTATTTCCTTCTGCAAATTTTAATATTGGTAGGTCAGCCATTCAATTTGCATAAAACTGAAACTGAACAAAAAGATACTTTATTGTGATTGCTCTTGTTGATTTTTCATTGTCCACATTGTTCCTTTTGTCATCTTAGTTCTAAAGTTTAAAATCCATAGTTTGGACTTTTTTTAATGTTTGGAATCAAAATTAGCTTAATTTGATTAACTCAATTTAAGTAGTTAAAAGGAATAAAGAATGCTGTTCTTTCAAATGTATGCCTATATAGGTAGGATGATTCTGAACCCCTAGGAATCTGAAGATAATGATAGTTTTATCATGGACTTCAAACAGAACAGAATCATTGCAATGCTAAACACTTCTGAAATGCCATCCCTACATACATACACGACATCTATCCAGTTTTAACTTTTAAAACTCTATGAAGATGTTTCCTTCTGTTAAGGAATTCTGTGATGCCATAAACACTCCCCGTCTCTCCTCCCCCCCATATAAAAATGGTCATCTTAATTATAGTAAATTTGAAATGAAAAACAAAGCAACTAGGGATGTGAAAAATTTATTTTTGAAAACATGTAACCACTGACTTTTTTAACGATTACATTTTGCACACAGGAAGGACATGCCCACAAGAGGGTGAAACCGATGCACCCAGGCTTATCGGTTAATCGTGTAAACAAGTACACACTAACATCCCTAAAAGCTACCATGTCATTCTTTTTCACCTCATCCATCCCTATATCAGGTAGGAAGACAAATAAGAGATTTTACCACAATGTGCGCTATAACACCTGGCCATGACAAGATGAGGCTTCAACAATATCCTTCAGTTATAAATCTTTACTTTTACTAGATAACAATGGACAATTTTGTCATGTACTGTTTAGTGGAGTAGCACTGCCCTTATGTAGCCTACAAATATAAAAAATCATCATAAGTAAATAAAACTTTCTCTGGCATAAACAAATGTTTTATTTAAGACTCTAGAAGGACGAATCATTTCGTTTTAGAAGGCAAAGAATGATTTTGCTGAAACCATGTTTGTATTAGTTCAAAGTAGTTTTCCATCCTACTTTAGAAGGCAAAGAATGATTTTGCTGAAACCATGTTTGTATTCATTCAAAGTAGTTTTCCACCCTACTACAGCAGTTCCCAAATGCCAGTCCATGGACTGGTGGTGGGCCACAAACAGCTGCTTGCTGGGTCGCGGCATGCTGCCAGGTCATGCCACACTGCCTCAACCCCACTCATTGGAGAAGTGCACAGTGAATGGTACAGTGGGCGGGTGCTCCAGGGGTCTCTGCTGGGCCTGCATGTGCATACAGGCCGAGCAGCATTGGGAAAAGAGCAGAAGATACGTGTGTCTCATGCCTCGCAGGAGCAGGCCCAGCCCCAGGGAAGATGCCGAGCCCCCCTGCCACAGGCTGCTCCACAAGATCCAGAAAAGCAGCATTAGCAAGCTGTGGAGCGCATGCACGGAACCAGAAGTCCACCAGTCTTCGCTTCCTTGACGGGCCCTTCTAAGCCCCTAAACTGAGGCATCTCTATGGCCCGCAGCTGCCACTCATGCTTGGAATTGTGAGGTGGGGGGAGCAGTGGTGGCAGCAGCTGTGCTTCTGCCTACCCACGGAGGGGAGGATAGGTGAGAGCACCAGCCCCATCAGTGTGATCCTGGTGAGCTTGGACAGTCGCGGCAAAAAGCTGCTCTTCTGCTTCCCTTTCCATCAGGGTGCATGCAGTGCCCAGCCACTCAAGCCAATAAGTGACAGTGCAGGGTCACGGGCCAGGTGCACAAGAGCTTGGTGCCAATCGCAGGGGAAGAGTGAGGTGGGTTGGGCTCACCCTGGGCAGCGCTGATGGGCTGGAGGTGGGAGCTTGCTTGGGGGCCAATGCCCAGACGCCGGGGGGGGGAGGGGAAGGTGTCCTGAGGCAAAGGGAATGAGGCAGGAGGGAAGCGAAGACAGACAATGACCCTCATAAAGTGGGCAAACCTGGAGAAATGCTGGGTTATTCATTGTGTGCATACAGATGCAATGCAAAATAACATAGGACTGCTTAAAATTAATTACCATCATGAATGTGAAAATATGCAAATAAGCTGTTCTAATGAATATGCAAATGACTCCACGCCAGTCCATCAAAAGTTTTTGAATGAGTTTGCCAGTCCGCAGTATAAAAAAAGGTTGGGAACTACTGCCCTAATATATACTCATTAGTTGGCACAAGCAGCAGTGAATAATCTTTTAATTGTTAATAAAAAATACATTTATGCAATGAATTTTCTGTAGAATTTCCCCCCCTTAAATCATACACACTAGACTTTGGCTTGTGAAACCCTGGCTTGAAGGTGAAAATAAAAATAAAATAAAAATAAAAAAAAAAAAGTAACTGTCTTTGCCACAATGCCTCATTTTTGTAAGAGAGAGGAGTGTAAGTTTGGTGTGCAAACCCTAAGATATAGGTGGAGAACCCATGACCTGCGCCGTAATAAAAATAAAATAAAAATAAAAAAAAAAAAGTAACTGTCTTTGCCACAATGCCTCATTTCTGTAAGATAGAGAAGTATAAGTTTGGTGTGCAAACTCTAAGATATAGGTGGGGAACCCATGACCTGTGCCATTGCTTACTTTCATCCAGAGGAAGTTTCACCCTGCTTCTCATCCCCAGTTGGAGCCACAAACCCAGCTGACCCTACCACGGGCAAGAAGTGCTAAGCTTCAGTGCCCTTCAGTGGGCAAGAAGCCAAGCGCTGGATGAAAAAAAAAAAGTAACAAATTATCTGTATGGTTTACTGTCAAACTCACTGTATTTTTTTTTTGTAAGAAAAAGGTATTTTTTATTTATTTATTTATTTTTTTAAGAAAAATGTACCCACAATACTGAAATAATTGTTGGTGTTCATTTTTCTGGGCTGTAAAAGCTAGGTCACCATGTCTTTCAACTCCCTTAGGACTAAATATATTACATTGGCCCGTAAACTATATCACAAGTTAGACCGTTCTGCCTTAGGGACTGATAACAGGCTATAAAGAATTTCATCTATAGGTTGCCAACTGCAATCCAGCTCAGGTAATGATCAGAACCATGTAAAGTATTACATCACTTCCTTAAATCAATGGCTTTGAGTCATGGTGACACACACAAGGATTTTATTTTTAAACTCTCTCAGTTACTCAATGTTTCTATGTTGGATAGCACAATGCATCATTTGTTGCCTCACAGATTTTTCATTCCCTAGCATAGACTTGCTCCAACCTTTAAATGTATCGGTCTCAATATATGGTAACTCAAATGAAATCATACTTCTTCTATTCACCATAATTTATTTGGAAACCTGTTCCAACATTTCATCTTGTCAACATCCTTAAAACTACAGATCAAGATTCTGCTGAGCGAAACATACAGAATAGCATTAAAGGTAAGATCATTTTATATACCAAGGAAAAGTTTATTATATTTTTGTTTATAATGGATATTAAGCATGATTCCTTGCCACTATGAGAAAAAAAGGGTTCGCTTCTGGCCCCTGCTATGGCCTCCAAGTCAGATGACCCATCCACGTAACAATTCCTGTGGTGTGCAGAAAACCCCAATTGACATAAAGCTAGAATAGATGGCTCTATGTCGTCTCTGTCACAGACTCTGGCTTAGAAGCATGACTAGAATACTATTTCTGGCTAACAGAATAAACCTTTGGTGCTGCTGGCAGATAGATGTAAGTTTGCACCAGGGATTGTCATTGATCTGATCCCTCCCAACTCACTCCAGGATTGAGGGAATGTACAGCTACCTTTACTAAGACACAGTGCCAATAAGATACTGATCAGACCAATTACATAAAACAAGTCAGATTTAAAATGGAAAGGAAGTCTGAAGAGTAGTAAGGTCAAATGGAAGAGAAAGTTTAAATATAAGCAATCTCTTACTACGAACATTATAAAACATAAGAAAATAGATTCTTATAAATAAAGTAACTTTCATCCTCTTCACATCCCACCGCTAAGAAAGAGTGGGAGGAAACTTAACCTTTCACATGCCTATCTAGAAGTGTAACACATAAACATCATATGTAATAGATGATGTTTACCAGTTCACTGGCAGAGACTGGAGCAGCTCCCTGCTCACTGTGGGCAGGGAGATGCTCCAGCCCTGCAGGGTCCATCATGGATAGAAGGACTCCAGAGCAGCCGGAACAGTCTTGTCCACAGCGGATGCACCTCTTTAATCCATTAACTGGTTAAACATCACGTTTAACTGGTTAACCAATTTAACAGGATTTTACATTCCT